AGGCTGGCAGGCTGCACATCCTACCCTGCCACTGGGCCCAGGGGAGGGTCCCAGCCAGGTCCCCATACGTTTTCTTGAACCACAGCCGATAATAGGGAACATGCACCAAGTTCATCCTGCATAGACCCTAGTTTGTTCTCTTAAGAGCTCTGTGGGGTGTGCACTTTTTGTCTTTGTGTCCTCATTTTACAGATGAGAAAACAGTGCCCACTTGGCACCGTGGGCGAGTCACTTCACCTCCTAAGCCTCAGCCCCTGTGCTGTCAAAAGAGAAACACGCTGGGTGCCCATTGGGTGCTCCCCAGACAGTAGCTGCTGCTAGGATCTCCCTTCCATCCCCTGGCTCCTCCATGGCCTTTCCCGGACCCTGGCCCACAGCACCCCCACCTCCACCACCTGCCCCAAGAGCTGCACTGAGCCTCCTCCCTCAGGGTCCGCTGGTCTAGCGTTCTGGGTCAGAAGCCCTCAGAAAGGCACTCAGTTACTCGGAGCTGCTGGGGGTCTCAGAAAGACGCCTACCCCAAATGAGAAGCTCTCACTGTCACAGAATCCTAAAATGGAAAGTTGATACTAGACTGGTGGGTCTAATCCCCAACCTGCCACCCTCTGGTTGTATGACCCTGGGCAAGTCTCTTAACCTCTCTAGGCTTCGACAGCCTCAGCTGTGCAGTCGCACCTACTCCACGGAGTGAGGTGAAGATGAACGATTCACCATCTGTACAGTGTTTAGAAGAGGCCCAGCCAGTGGCAGGTGCTATGGTCATCCTCGCTGCCACTATTAGCACCCTAAAAATTACCCCCAAGGGCTGTTCATTCTATGGACGAAGAAACTGAAGCCCAGGGGACGAAACAACTCACCCCAGGTCTCTAGGGCTTTCTGCACCATGTACACAGCAGCCCATGTCAGTGCTACTCAGAGCTGGATCCAGGGACCAGCAGCACCTAGGGGCTTGTTAGAAATCCAAGTTCTTGGGGCCAGTAGGTGGCGTGGTAGATAAAGGCACTGGATTTCCACGTGGCTGACCGTGGCTCAAGTCCCAGACCTGGCAGCTTGCTTTCTCGCTCTCCCTTTCTCTCTCTCTCTTTCTGGTCAAATTAAAATAATAATAATAGGAATTAAATAAATTTTTTTTTTTTTTCAAAAAAGAAATCCAAGTTCTCCTACCCTAAACTTCGTGAATCTGAGCTCTGGGGGTAGGCCCCAGCCATCTGTGTTCAAAAGCCCTTCTCCAGGGGCTTCTGGTGCATAAAAACATTCCAGAACCACTGGTCTGTGCACATCACACCTCATGTCTGCTCAGCCTAGCTCCTGGCTCCCTGCCCCAGCCCTTCCCCATCTTACCCCATCACAGGGTGCAGCACAATGGCACGGGGCTCATCCAGGTCCTCAGACACCAGGATCTTGCGGGAGGTGCCGTTGAGGCGCGTCACCTCGATACGGTCGGTGCCCGTGTCGGTCCAGTACAAGTTTCGGGCTACCCAGTCAACTGCGATGCCATCAGGGTCATTGATCTCAGTGTTAACCAGCGTCTGTGCCCCAGACCCGTCCAGATATGCTCTGCGGATCGCCCGCACCTCATCGTCTGTCCAGTAGACGTAGCCCTCGAGTGGGTCATAGTCGATGGCAATGGCATGCCGGATGTCGTCAACCTGCAACACGATGTCAGTGAAGTCCGGCGTGTCCAGTGAGATCCTGCGCAGGTCTGTCCGACGGGCCAGCAGGAGCACCTCCTCTGCCCCTGCAGAGACAGAGTGGTGGGGGCAGGGACCTCCAGCAGGCACAAGAGGGTGGGCACAGCAGGGGAGGGGCTCAGCCAGGTCCCCAGGGATTTCCTTGAAACAACAGCTGGTTCATCCTGTGGGGGCCCTAGTTTGAACTCCTAAGAGCTCTGTGGGGTATGCACTATTGTGTTTGTTTCCTCATTTTATAGATGAGAAAACAGGTACAGAGAGGTTAAGCAACCAGCTGAAAGCCGCAGAGCCAGGCCATCTGGCTACACCCACCATGTAAATGCTGCCTCAGTCAGTCTCCCTTTTGCCCTTCCAAGACCCTCCTGCCCAACACAAGTCCTACCCAGGCACTGGGCTCCAGACACCAACTGCTGGCCAGCCCCCTCAAAGTCCACACTAGGCCCCCCACCTCACAGGTGCTCAGCCTTCTGCCTCAAATACCACTTCTTCCTGAAGCCCTCCTCTTCCCCTCCAACCACCATGCACCTTGAGTGGTCTCCTCTTTGATATCTGGCTTCTAGGCAGGGCCAAAAATGCCTGTCAAGTGAGTGAACCTCTTCATTCACACAGATGTTCACAGAGCACTGAGGTGGGGAGAATTCCAGCTCCAAGGCCAAAGACCCAGTAGCTTTTTCTCTCTCTCCAGTTACCTGGCATGTTAAACGGCCCCTAAGCCCTACAGCTAACATGGATTTAGGGGCCATGTAACACGCCAGGCAACTGAGGAGAGAGACAGGAAACAACACCTCCAGGCCAGGTGTGTTCTGGTTCAGACAAGACTCAAATCTGGTCCTACAGATGGGGCATTGTTCACGTGCTTCAAATCATATTTCAGAATCACGCCATGCAGTCCCCCAACAACAGCCACTTTGGGTCTCTGCTGCACCCTGGGGCCAACCCTGGTGAGCTGGACAGTCTTGAGGCTAAACCCTTCACAATGTACTTGGACCAGGTTTAGTGGGACACTCAGGGAGTGAATGGGTGGACTGCCCAGGGACCTAGAGTTGATCCTGGGTCCTGGTACCCTGCACCTCAAGTAAGGGCAAAAACCCCTCCTGATTGCTGCTCCAAGGATGGTCCTGCAGCCAGGGAGACACATGCCTGGGCACAGAAGGATGTTCAGATTATTCTAGTCTCAAGGAAACACCCCTCCTCGAGCTGAGGACAAGATTTGCCAGCCCTTGAGATCTGCATGTGCTAAAATTCCTCAAAAGTTATTTCTGTTCTAAGCACCTGTGCCAGCCTGACTCAGCAGACAGCCTGACACCACAGGGTCAGCACAAGAGAAGTCACACTCACACCTTCTAAGGCTGTTGCGGTGACATTCCCAGGCCATGCACTGCTGCCCAGAGCGCATCCCAGGCCAGCAGAACTGACAGGCAGATCTGCTGCAGGTGGCCACCTGGTATCCCTTCTCAGCAGCCCCAGGACCCCTTTGGACTGCCATTACTACCCACTCTGGCTGCAGACGGCCTAGAGACCCCGCTGGCCCTTCACGTCAGCTGAAACTGCTGCCCTCCAGTGGTTCCAGTGTTTTCTCAGCTCTCTGGAGCTCAGTTTAGGGAGCAGAGGACTATAGGATTCTCTTCTGGACCTGTGTGGTCCACTCTCCACAGGGTCTCAACCTCTGGGGCCTGAACTGCAAACCATACTTAAGAGCCAATCCTGGGGCAGAGGATGCAAAAAAGGAAGAACAGGGAGAGGATGGTCCACCTGCAGCAATGGTAGCATTTATTTTACTTTGTTTTGTTTTGAATTTACTAGAGTGTGTATACACTTGCTAGAAAGAGATAGAGACAAAGAGAGCGAGAAATCAGCCCCCATGGGGGACAGTCACACCACACTCCCCTCTCCTCCTTTCTTTCAGGATTTTGGGCACACGTGCACACGTGCTCAGTGTGTTTCTCAAGTCGCCTTAACCACCATGCACTGGCTGGCCCAACAGTAAACATTCTCGATTTTGTCCTGAGTCCTCCTTGTTAATAATGATCAGAACTTCTAGCAGAAGCTGTGCATGGAGTCTCATGCAGACTTAGGGTCCCCAGGATGCTCCCATATCTAACACAAAAGCTTCCTGAGGCTGCTGGGGTCAGGACACGGCTCTCCCTCTCCAGAGATGGTCATCACTTACCTGTTCACTCTAGCCCTTTCTAGTTTCAAAGTCCTTTGGACCAAAGAAGGTCAGGCCCAGAGGTCACTCTGGCACTGTGGGGCCACTTGATCACCAGACAGCACAGGGACTAGGGACAGAATCAGCCTAGCCCCTTCTTCACACTCTTGCACCCAGGCCCAGCACCTACACCCAACTGCCTGGTCTCAGTGCCCAGACAAACTGCAGCCTTCAAACAGCAGATGGCCTTCTGCACCCTGGTGTTGGCTTCTCGTCGCAGGCAACCTGGGGACCTGATCCCGGGTCCTGGTGCCTTGCACTTCAAGCAAGGGCACAGGCCCTTCCTGGTGGCTACTCCAAGCCTGAGTCTATAAAATGATTCCTCCACTAGAGGGCACACACATGACAGCAATGGCTACATGACCCCAGGGCAGGGAAACTGAGGCAGGCCTGGGAGTAGAGTGAGGCAGCAAGGGAAACCTCTGAGATCCAAATCCAGGCGTAGTTAGACGTGTTCACGCAAGTTCTGATCCAGTGTGTGCTGGCGGAGGGAAAGGAAATTCTGAATTTCAGCAGACTCTCCCTCTGGGCTCCATTCCCACAATGTCCTGTTGGCATCCGACCTGGTTGTTAAGGCCCAGGTCACATGCACCTCCTCCTCCAGGTCACATGTCCCCTACCCCCCCTACGCCAGTGGATGACACCGCTCGCCCCCCAACACACAGTTTGCACCTCTGCCAGGGCTCAGCCCCTACCGGCTCATGGGAATTCTGGCACACGCCCCTGGGCTCTCCACGGCCCCCAGCATGACGTCACACCTGGAGTGGGCGCCAAACTAGCCTGTCCGGAAGCGGCTCTGCAGTCTGGGACAAGCAGAGAATTCAGGACAGAAACCGCCTGGTCCTGCCCCCTCTGTGTGATCTTGGGCAGGTCCCCAGCCCCTTCTGGGCCTGCTTCTCATCCATAGTGAGGAATCAGCCAGACCTGATGGTACGTGACTCCCTGTCGAGCTCTGACATTAAGAGAACCATAAACCAAACTGGCCAGTATGGTGGGGGAGAGAGGAGCTCCAGGGTGGAAGACCCCAGGACACAGCCAGGGAAGAGCCCTTCCCAGGAAACACCTGCAAAACTTTCCAAACAGGCTGTCGCACTTCCAAGCCGAAGCTGGGGCAACCTCACTTTGCAAAATGAAGGGCGTACATCAAATCCCACTGACCTCCAGCCATGTCTCCATCAGGATGCCACAGAAAACACTGGTCCCTGATGGAAACACTCGGTCCCCAAACACTCTGAGCCTGTTCTGCCTGCACTACTCCTGGATCCTCCTGAAACAATCACTGGAAACGGCGGATCCACACCAATCCTCAAGGGAGGATTACGCCCATTTTAGTGATGAGGAACCTAAACAGAGAGGTTATGCCCCTAGCCCAAGGACACAAAGTGAGTGAGAAGAAAAAGCTCGTCAACCACTTCAATCTCTGGAGCCAGCACACACAGGAGGCACTTTTTTTTTTTTTTTTTTTTTTTAAAGAATCATTTTATTTAACTTATTTATTTATTTTGACCAGAGAGGGACAGAGAGAAAGCAAGCTGCCAGGTCTGGGACTTGAACTGTGGTTGGTCACGTGCAAGTCCAGCGCCCTTAAACCACCATGCCACTGCTGGCCCCATGGCACATTTATTTTTTATCTGCTCCCTAACTGGCTTGGTCATTCCACCAGTTTTGTGAGCAGCTACTTTAGGCCAGGCCATGAACCAGACGCTGGGGACAGAGGAGAGGGCAAGACAGAATCAGGATCTGCCCTCATGACACCCTCAGGGTCACAGGGCAGAGACCTGAAGTGAACAGGCCCCTCACTGAATACTCAGTCACAACTGTAGCTGGTGCTGTGAAGGAATGCTAGGGTAGTGAGGTTGCAAGGGGGTTGCTGAGACTGGGGGAAGGTCCAGCTCAACAACCTCTGGGCTTTACGCACCTGTTAGCCCATGGCACATTTCAGCAGAGGATCCAGAGCAGGTTGAGCGCTCCAGGGACTGAGCACACTCAACCTCAGTCTTCTGGTAACCAGGTCAACACAGAGCTTCAAACATACACCTCAGTCAGGGAGCCCCATTATCAACACCCCTGAGAATCATGTAGAATGGGGTCTTTGTGGCTTACACAATAATACACTGCTGGGATAAATCTATAGGTGTTAACTGACTCCAAAGGGGGACTCCCAAGGGCTGCCAGGCCTTTGAGAGTTTGGGGTTTTGCCAGGAAAAAACGCAGAGACTGGGACACCTGGGAGGCTCCGTCCATCTGCCTGAAGGTCTAAGCGACCTGTACACAGCACAGAGGCCAGCCCAGTCCAGAGGTGGGGAGAGCTTGCCCAGGCTGGTGCCGTAGGTGGCCTCTGAGAAGATTCCATTCGTAGAGAGGTCTGAGCAGCACCGCTGACCTTAGGCCTGCAGGCCCGGGGGTGAGTGGGGCAGGAGGTGGTCATGGGGAGGAGAGGGCCCCCCCCTCCCTGGGACCAGCCGCAGAGCCTGGTAGGAGTTTGTTTAAACATCAGGGAAGTGAGCTGTTTAAAACTAACAGTTTGGCCAAATGGTTTTCTTTAGGGTTGTTTAAACAAACAGCCTGCCCCACAGTGTTGCCAAAGAAAGTGAAACCCCCTCACCAATGGACGGTAGTCCCCGGAGCCTCCTCCAGGCGGGCTCCTGACCTGCCCCCTTCCTCCCTACGCATGTGCAGGAAAGAAGGGCAGCATGCCTGCTGCAGGAAAAAGCATGGGGCTTAGGGCAGGGGGCTCAGAGGACAGGCCAGGGTACAGCCTTCCTGGCAGGGGGCATTCTCCTCAAAACAAAAATCCAGTCTCATGAAATGATCCAATGCCATGGGCACAACCAGCTC